TATAAATTTACAGGTAATCATGTATTGTGTTACATTATATTTCTGGAAAATTTAAGGGGTAGTTATATAATAATTTTGAACGATCTCAGGCAGTCGGATACTTATGACCGCTACTGTAAGTTCATACAATATGACAAATCTGAGATTACATGTAAAATGATTTCTGATAAAGAAATTATCAAAGCAATTAATCCTAATAATTAAGAAAATCAAGAAAAGGAAATAAAGATACCTATATTACAAATTATTTATGATAAAATTATTGAATTATACAATAAAGTGATTTTATATTTAAAATAATAGAGAGGCAATTATGATATGAGAAAAGAAGAATTAAAATTTGTTGAAAAGTTAAAAAAAGAAGTTTTAAAACAATGTTTTATTTCTGCAAGATAAATTAATATTGATAGTTTTGTTACAATAATTTAGTATTTTTTTGTAATAATTTAAATATGTTTTTTACATAATATGTAATGTTTTTTTATTTTATGCGATAAATAAAGGATCATACATCCTAAATTCTAATATAATTATTAAATATGTGCATTATTTCTTTTTTTAACATGCAATGATCATACTACTAGCTGCTAAGCAGTAATAAAATCATATAACATTTACACTATAACAATTATTTAGTATATATACGAATAATTTATTATAGTGTTAACAAATTTTTTTATAATGAAGGTCTGATTAACTTAGATGCTAAATTCGTTATATAAAGAATTTACTGTAATAGTTTCTTCTATAATAATTTAATATAGCATTATTTTATTAAATTTAATATTAATATTTTATTTATATTATTATTAGGTTTAATTTCATATATCTTAAAATTTAAGTTAGAAGTATTATAGTAATATTCATCAAAATTTATGACTTTAGAAAAAAATCTTTATTTTTACAGATATTTGAATTTTTTAAATTAACTTTACAATTTATATATTTTAGAATTTAAAGATTTATTTAATTGAACTTGATGACTAACTCAAAAATAAATTAATATAATATATTACAATTAATTTTCAAATGAATAATATTAAGCAAAAAATAAAAAATTATTAAAATTATTCTATTTATATAAAATTAATTTGCTATAGTTAATTACTTTTTATATTATAAACTAATTTAATTTGTAAATTTTAGATAATATATAATAATAAAATAAATAAAGTATAGATATAAAATTACTAAAAGTAATAATGATAAAGAAAAATAAGTTATTTATTATAATTAGAGTAATATTCAAGAATTGGATAAATCTAATAAATTAGATAAATTTTACTAATCTGATCTTCTAAATGTAGTATTTTGTTATATTTAATAATTCTTATGTGATATAATTCTAATATTAATTACATGATATTAAACTTAAATGATCATTGACTAAGCTTTAGCCCAAATTATAAAAAATTTTGAATAATAAATTAACTCATATGATTTAATTAATTTTAAATTTAAGTCAATTATTTTGAATTTCATAACTTTATGTAAATTATTTTTAAAATTTTAATTGGTAATTTAATAAAATGTTAAAGAGATTATTTAATTGTTATAATTTTTTTCGAATATAGATCTTTAACACAATTTTTATAATTAAAAATAATTTATTAATAAAAAAAAAATGAATAAAAATGATTTTGTAATTTTTGCATTTGAATTTCTTTATAAATCATGTGTGATTCGTGCAACAATCGAAGGAAACGTGTTTTCAAACATTTTAAAGTCACGTGAAATCTACATTTGAATTTTTGATTTATGATGCAAAAAATCATCTCAATAAAGGTTCTTTTATTCTTGCTTTTAGAAAACCATTAGAAAAATGACTGAACATAAATATAAACTTCTTTGTATGGGTAATCCTTTGTTGGATATCCAAGTTACTGCTGATAAAGCTTTACTTAATAAGTGAGAAAATTTATATTAATACGAGTGAAGGTTGAGAAAAGAATTTGGAATTAACGAATTCACATATTTAGATATGGTCTTAAAGCAAATGATGCTATTCTTGCCGAAGATAAACATAAACCAATGTAATTAAATGATGATTATTTTTGATTTCTGTTACATAACCGAATTTTGCAATTAACTCTATTTTTTTTTTTTTTTTTGATATCTTAAGGTACGAAGAACTCGTTAAAAATTATACTCCCGTTTACGTAGCAGGAGGTGCTGCTCAAAATGCTGCTCGTGGTGCTCAGGTAACAAATCAATATTATTCATTACATTATGATTCCTTTTTTGAGTACAATTTAATTTCATTTTTTGTTTATTTCAACATAGTTTTTGCTACCACCAAAGTCCACAATTTATTTTGGGTGTGTTGGTGATGATAAATATGCTCAAGAAATGAGAAATGCGGCCAACAATGAAGGGCTAACTATTGATTATTTAGTTAATAAAGAATTTCCAACTGGAACTTGTGGTGTGATTATCACTGATCATAATAGGTAATTGATTCACATCCTTCAGTCTAACCTTTTAACAAAGTTAATATTGACGTAAGTAAAAATACATGATATATATAGATCATTAGTAGCAAATTTGTCAGCAGCAGAAAAATATCATGAAACGGAACATTTGGATTTACCAGAAAAATGGAAAATTGTAGAAAATACCGAGTATTATTATGTTGGAGGATTTTTTTTAACCGTATCACCTAGTTCTATCTTAAAAATTGCCAAGCATGCTGCTGATAAAAATAAAGTAAGGATTAAGATGTGATGTTCTTTTATTTTAATTTATTATTTTTTTTTTTTAATATTTTATGTTTCATGATATAGGTATTTAGTATGAATTTATCAGCACCATTTTTATCAGAATCTTTTAAAAAACCTATGAATGAAATAGCTCCTTATTGGGATTTAATTATTGGTAACGAAGACGAAGCTGTTGCATTCGCTAAGTCACAAGATTGGGAGGTAATCACATAACACTATTTCTTATTGCATTCCTGTTATATTCATACCTTTTGAAAACCAACCTTTTTCTCTCCTTTAATATTAGACAAGAGATTTGAAAGAAATCGCTAAAAAAATGGCACAATTGCCAAAAGTTAATAAAAAACGTCAACGTATCGTCGTCATTACTCATGGAGCAGAATCAACTATAGTAGCAGAACAAGAAGGTGCTTTAAAAGAATATCCAATTATTAGTATAAATCCAAAAGATATAGTTGATACTAATGGAGCAGGTGATGCTTTTGCTGGTGGATTTTTAAGTCAATATGTTCAAGGTAAACCTATTGATGAATGTGTCTCTGCTGGTCATTGGTTAGCTAATATTAATATTAAACGCGTTGGTCCTACTTATCCCGAAGAAAAAATTCCCTATCCTGGTAATTAATTATTCTGTAGTTAGATAAATTTGTACTATTAAAAAATTGGAAACAAAGGAATAAGTAGTAACTTTCAGTCCATGTTTCTATTTAAATTAAATTCATTCATATTTATAAATATCAAAAAATGTCTAAATGTTTTTCCATCAAATTTGGAATAAAAAGTATTGAACAAATAATAGTATGAAAAAAAAAAAAAATTCTAATACTAAATAAATTGAATGATGTGTATCATTCTATATTAAAAATAAAATAAAAAAAAAATGCAATGAAATTTACAATTGAAATAAATACCAACTACTAAAAATTTGTTGTAAAATTGTAACAATCCCCATCGAAACCAATACATGAATATTAATTAAATATACATAACTCTGGTTTCCGTTAAAGAAATTTATATAATTATTAGCAAATCCAATAAATGATGATATGTATTATATATACTTGTAACTAAAAAATTTACAATCAAAATAAATAAATAAAATATTCAAAAGTTCCAACATCAACATTATATAAATGCAAATAATAATATTATAATAATAATAATAATAATAATAATAATAATAATAAAACTATAATTTAGTGAATGAATCAATTAATGAAATAATGAGAAAACTAATTATTAGCGACCCCGTATAACGATAAATAATTATCAGTAGCACCAATTGCCATAACCATATGATGGCCAGCAAGAGCTAATGAAGTAACTTGAGCGCCCCATCCTAAAAATCCAGTATTATACCGTGCTACTGATAGATTTATTCCAGTATTTGTATTCCAAACTTTGATAAGTTGATTAGAATAAACACTATAAAAAAGGATGGAAGAAAATCATGAGTTACGATTTTATAATAAACAAAAAAAAAAAATTTATAATTACCTTGCAACAACGTTCGCATGATGATGAACATCCAACGCATTCATTTCAGAAACATTTGTATCGCCTATAGTAAGTTTTGAATGACTAAGCCGAATGTCCCATAATTTAATTTCTCCTGACTTGCTTCCTGAAACTAATTCACGTACTGCTCCTTTTTGCCACACAACGTTAGTTATGGTATTCTTATGTTCCTTGCTCGTTAATATCATAGCGTCCCTAGGCTGAATACGCCTATCATATACACGAACTGCTCCGTCTGCAAATCCGGCAACAAAAATATCTTCCCCATCGCTTGTAAGACTAGTAATCGAACTACTAGTTCTAGTAGGAATTTGCTAATAAAATATTTATGTCAATAAAAATCGCATAAAATAATAACATGTAAACTACTAATGAAATTATACACTCACACTCATCGTAATTTCACGTGGAGCATCCCAAACTCGAATCATATTATGATCCCCACCAACTAATAAAATGCCACGTTCTTGCTGCCATTCAGCAATAAGTCCACTTCTTTGACTGTTAACCATGATCTCTGGCATAGCACGCCATGATGTTACTAATTCTAATGACGATGATAAACTATAATTTCGAAACAAACGTACTACGCCATCACCTACCAACAAAATTAAGCAAATAGAGTTTTAATACTTTATTTGAATTTATTACAAAACCCCCCCCACAATAAATCAAAGTTTATACTTGATCCGGTCAATAACATTGAAATTTCGTCTTCATTGATAAATTTTAATGTTGTGATTTTGCTACCAGAAGGATTTCCATTAGAAAAGGTATGTGTGCGGTAATGTTCTCTCCAATTCCAAATACTATCAAGTAAATATAAAAATTAAGTCATAATTTAATTACATATAATATATTTATAAAAATGAAATATTTTTTTCACCTAATCATATCTTTGTCATTAGCAACCACTAGATGCGGTTCGAATTGGTGGAATAGCAATCTCGTGGGCTCGGAATCATTATTGAAAAATGCAATTTGCTTGTTCCATCGACTCGAGCCTTAATTTTTTTTTAAAACAAAAAATGTTAGAATGGTTTAATAAAATAATTAAAATAAAATTTACATTAGCATAATCTAAATTTACCAACCAGCTACTTCCTTTAATGGTTGAGTCGAATCGATTATACTTTCATTTCTCTTCCGACGCCATAACCTTTCATTATCATCGATGCTACCTTGCTGTTCAGATTCAGCTGGCTTAATGACGATAAATAACAGTTAGTTAAAGTCGATGTTTTCCCCTTTTGTCAATTAAAAAAAAAAATTTTAAATTATATTTACCCTCATTTGAGGTTCTCTGAAGTATTCACAACTCCAATCAAAGAATTTTGATTTGAGGGGTAATACATCATCCGACGATGAAGTTCTATTTAAAGATTGTCGAAACGTTTCAGTCTCCTGCGAGCCCTGATCTTGTATAACCTGCCGTATAGTCAATGCAACATTTTCGGCATGTTGAGTTTCCAACAATTGATCATGAATATAATCAATAACAGCAGATGCAAGCTGAGAAACTTCAGTATCAGGATCAGATGATAAATTCAACAATGCTTTCCAAATACACGTGTATACAGTACTAGTTCTACTTGCGGGTTGCCGAGTCAAGGATTTCCTTCGAATTTCTTGCAATTCCTCAAAAGCAGCACGCGTAAAATGTTCAATATACGCATTTACAATATGAGAAAGAGCAATCACTAATTCTCGACGGACTATAGGAGAAGCATCGTTAATAGCATCGAGAGCGTTAATTGCTATGTTCTGCTCAATATTTACGATTTGCTCAGTACGACTCAAATCTCCAATAAAAGTTCCTAAAGCATAAAGTGCCGCAGCACGAACTTCAGGAACCGGATCGATTAAAAGTCCGAAAAGCTTCAAATGGGCTTGATTTTCAATACCCTCACTCTTTGCTTCTACATAATTAGTCCAATATTGACCAATACATAAACAAGCCCACTGTCTTAAAAGTGCGTCAACATCATTAATTCGAGCTAAACACGCGTGTAAAACGTTAGATTTCTTACATGCAGCCTGTCCTTGATTAAAATTTGTGCAAAATATTGCTAAAATAAAAGCACACATTGCACGATGTTCAGCTTCATTTGGAATATTTAACATACTACTAGGAGATAAAATATTCACAAAATAAGTATAACCATTGTCCTTTAATAAATCTTGTTGACAAGACCTATCAACAGCCAAAATTCTAGCCCAAATAAACACTAAGGGAGGTTTCAAATCCGCAGCAGGACTTTGTAATAATTTCAATACATAAGGGAAGATACCTATTGATAATGCTAAACTGACGGCACGAGGTCCTAAATCCAAATATTTACTTAATAACCCTAATGCTCGAGATCTATGTACTTGACTAAGAAGTACTTGCAACACTATCGGTAATTGTTCAGGTGGTTTTTGCGAAACAGAGCCTTTTGATAACCATACTTGGAATGCGGTTAACTGTTCATCAAAGAAGCTAGAATGTTTATACTCAACTTCTGGTCCTCCACTTTCCGCATTTAAAAGGGATGGTAATTGTGCTAAACACATATCAACAGCAAGATCCCATGAGTCCCACATAGGATGATCGTGAGTAGGTGGTAACTGAGGATGAGACATGGGATTACATTGATAACGTCGCATGATTCTTTCTGCCAACAGAAAATTTCTAAATAACGCAGCAACCATGAGATCTTGTCGGAATAATTGTTTAAATAAACCTCGGGGGAGTACATTCCAAGCAATGGTATCCGTGATAGCCGTAAAAATCCAATTTAATTCTCCCAGCGGTGTTCTACGATCCTGTAACCTACCAGGAAGTTTCATCACCATATCAACCGTAAGAAAAGTTGGTAATGGATTCTGTAAAACAAACCATCTTAAAGCTATCTCTATTGGAGAAGTTAAACATGATGTGAATAAATCTGCTGGTAAATGAGGATGCATCGGTAAGGTTTCATTAGGTCCACAAGCAGCCAATTGAATGTTAAGAGGTGCTTGCGGAACGGAATTTGAATCAGCCCTAGCAGCTTCTAAATATCGTTGCTCTGTAAAGCGTTTAAAACTTTCTAATATATTACCAGCAGCAGAACAATCATACACATAAACGCAAGGAGACCCTAACCATGATTGTAAATCACCCAAAGATACTGGAATATATTGAGTAAAGTGTTTATTAAAACACCATATTTCCCCGCTTGCTGTAGGTTTAGGGACACCATGACCATTATAATGAAATAATATACGTTCTTCTCTTGCACTCTTTCTTAAATTTGTACAAAATTTTTTCATCTCATCTACCGAAGGATCTAAATATTGTTTATAACGAGTTCTGATGCTGAGTTGTTCATATTGAGCCTGAAGATTTCTGCCAATTGCGTCCAAAGCCTTAGCAGGAGGCAAAGCAAAAGGGTCAACCCAACATTCTAATTTTGCACAAGGACTTGGTTTAACTACGTCTGGTGGGTCTACACCAATATTTAAACATAGGACTAAGGCACCTGAAACAGTCTTGAGTCTTTCACGCATTCTCCAATCCTGAACAGACCCTTCCTCCCGGTTTTGACCAGCTGTAGAAGTATGACGTTTTTCTATATAATATACATATTTAGATTCTGTTGTGTTCATGTGTTCAATTCCATTGATTCCTTTAATTGCATCTCGATCCATTGTCATTCCAAAAGTTGACTCACAGATCTTCTGCCTATTATTACTTCCGTCACAACTTATTTCGTCCGCTTCGTTCGTTAATGAATATATTAAATGACGTATTTGCTTCGAAATTAAATCCAAAAATAACATTTGAATTTCAATCAAATTCTAAAGAATGATTGTTCTCGAGAAAAGATTGAAAGAGACCTCGAGAAGTTGATTATCTTTTTTACCCCATTGTCAATACAAAAATCCAAAGTCATATGATCATAGAAATATAGATCATATCTGATAAGATATCGTATGCAAAACTGTGCCAACTATTCCAGAATTAGTACTCGTGTACTCGAGTGTTCTTTATGAATCTGGCGCAACAAAATAATAAACCTTGTGCTTGATAACAATCTTTTAATCAATTTGATTATATTATGAAACTTGACATTTTTAAAAATAAAATCTTTGAATTAAGGTGCATGTAAATTACGTCTTAAACGTTTAGATTCCATTACTGCGGATTGCGGCTGAATAGGAGTAGGCCGATCATATCATACTATAATATGTGTTTCCATCAATTGTTACGAATTTGAAGTTGCATCCCGATGATCGGCAACTGCGCCAAAAAAATTAGGTTATTTTCGGGTTCGTTTTACAGTTAACAGTATTAAATGCAAAATGTTTGATCGAATACATTGCGATCCAAATCCAATAGCGCATTAAATAATAATAAACCCTCTGCTTATATAATTTTCATTTATCTCTAAACAATAAAGAACTCGATTGTTTCGGTTCATCGTCATAATTGCGGTGTGACGATAAATAGAGTATTAGATGATATGTAGGTTAGGTTAGTATTAGGGATTACAATAAATAATTACCGTATGTTTCCGAAAATAAGCAACTCATGCTTAGATCTAGGTAAGTGCTTTGATCCTCTGATAAAATTGCATTGATCAATAAAGAAATTTTCAAATTTTAGAGGGATGCAATTCATTATGTCATCTTTCTTTACATATGTCTAACAAACAATATAACCCAGGAATATATTCAAGCTAGGCCTTTAGTTCATTGATCAGTTCTCGACATTTTAGATTCGTTGGACGAAGCTTCATATTTATTGTCATCACCTGAATTATCATTCGAGTCGTTATTTTTGATTTTGTCTCAATTTTGCTTGAAATCTAGAGTACT